TGTAAATAAGTTGTTTTTTGGTTAACTGGTAATTCTGAAAATTCAAAAAAAAAAATCATGTTGGATCGAATGAAACATTTTGTTTCACTTCAAACCAAATATTTCCTTTGATATTGAGCTTTATTTTCTTTTAATTTTTAAAATAAAACTAAAGGTAATTTTAGAACAGTCTCTTTGAGTCAAATTCTAAATATTTCTCTTTGGAAAATATTGAAATAAAATGTTTTATACCTTTTCAGTTTTTTAGGGTTTTTGTTTTGTTTTTTGGACTGAAACAATTCACCCAAATCTGTACCAATTTCATGAAAAGTTTTGATCAACCCAAATCTGCATCTTTCTTCAAAAAAAATTTTTTTCCAGTCAAAATTTTTTGCCCAGTTCTACTTCTCCTAATTTTCCCTTCCTTGTTTCAGTAGGACATTGACAAATAGGTTCCTCCATCTGAAGATCTGGCTGATGTTTTCAATTTACTTCCGTGTCCTCTCAACATCTTGCTGGTTTGTTTTTGTTTTTGTTTTTTTTGGAGGTGTTTGAATTGCTGCTATTTCTGGATGGCTCTGATTTAACAATCTGCCTCGTAAACAGAGTTGGGAAGTAGCATCATCTTGCTCTACTGGTCTTTGATTATTACGGATAGGACAGTGATTTTGAAGGTGACTTAGTAATAGGTATAAATCTCTATAGCCTGATGGAGTGGGTCCTATGGTCGCCGTTTTGCTATCATGTCAGATGGAGCTCCTCTAGAGTATATTTAGCTAGAAACTGCAACTTTGGCCTGATCTACACTTACAAGTTAGGTCAACTTAGTTATGTCGCTCAGGGCTGTGAAAAATCTCTGGTATAGATGCAGATGTAGCTACTGTTGCTCAGAGAGCTGGTGGTCCTACAGCGATGGAAGAGACCTTCCTGTTGCTGTAAGCTCCACGTGCGCTACATAGTGGGTTATGCCACATAGCTATGGTGCTATAGTCCCCGCAGTGTAGACATCGCCTTAGATACATATATTTGTGCTCTCAACTGAATCTTTCTCATTTCCCATACTATTTGGCAGCTTTCAGACAAAGATCTCAAAATGCTTCTCACATAGTAAATCTTCCCTGAGTGCATGAGTGATGGGGTTTTTCCCAAGTACAGATGGAGTGCCTGATATCAGATGGTTAAAGGATTTCTATTCCATATAGGTTGTTATACTGCTGTCATCACCCTAGTGTCTGAGCTACTTCCAGTTGCACATTAAGTGACGTAACAAACTTCTATTGTGTTCTGGTGAAGGCAAAGTCAGATGTGAAACTCAAAAGTGCTGGTTCCCATTTCTCTGTGCTAACCACTAGACCATGCTCCCTGCCTTCTGCACACTAGGCAAGTGACACAAACGTGCACGCGAGCTGTGCGATCAGCTCAAGCACTTGGATACCACAGTGACCAAACCCTTTTTCCCACCCCACTCCAGAAATAGGGTCTCTGTTTTTAGACTATCTGACTCGCCGACCAGCTGTGATATAAATCAGTATCACCCTGCCTTTAGAAACTTCCCTGTGTATTACTGCACTGTCACCATCTGATTAATTAAAATCCATGCCCTAATAATACTTGGCACTTTCCTGCTGCTTCTCCCCCATGAGCTCAAAGTACATCACAAAGAGCTGATGGAGCCTTCCCACCTTTTTATAAAGTTGGTGGTGCATGTGGACCCGGTAGTATAGTAGACTGGTTCCTAGCAAGGGTTGTGTAATCACATCAGAAAAGTACATAGTAAAAAGTGATGTGGGAGAAACCTGCCATGAACATGCATATGGAAAGAAAAATGGCCCTAAATAGCTTGTGGAGTTTAGGCCCTTCCTGCAGCGTCTGGAGACCTCTTCCTTTCTTTTGTACTAGTAAATAAGTAAGGATAAGATTATGTCACGGAATCGTGGATTCCGTGGCTTTCAGAGACCTCCATGACATTTTCTGCTTCAGTTGTGGGGCTGTCAGCCGTCAAGGGCTCTGCAACCTGAGGTGCCGGAGTTGTCAGCTGCCTCAGTCGACAGGTGGTGGACCCCCTCCACCCTCTCGCACTGGGGCTTGGGCTCTCATCCCACCCCACTTTGGCTTGTCATCACCCCCACTCCCTGTTCTTTTTAGTAAAGGTCACAGGCGGGTCATGGGTTTCTGTGAATTTTTCAGAGTAGCAGCCGTGTTAGTCTGTATTCTTTTTGTGAATTTTTTTTATTGATCGTGACCTGCCCGTGACTTTTACTAAAAATAACCGTGACAAAATCTGAACCTTATAAATAAGGTATCACTCCCTCACCTAAAATGGTGATCTGAGATATGCCTTCATGGCTTCTGACTGGGTCCAAGGCTCTCCTATCAGGATGATAGAAATAATGACTCTTTTTAAGAGCGTGTGGGGCTGCCCAAATGTCAGGAAATCACTGATTAGATTTACCAATTTACTAGGCAGGAGAGGTTGGTCTGTCTGATATCCTTGCAACACCTGGGGGCAACATTGCGTTCATGGTTACCTCAACTGGGCCTGACACCAGGATATGTACATATGGTCTAACCAGATCCCTTATGAAATTCCAAACACCTTATGTACAGCTGAGGTTATGAGAAGTCACTGGTTCTTCTCTGTGTTCAGTATCACTCTCCCACACTAGCAACCTTCTTCCTACTTTCCTTTGGCCATTGCTTCAGCAAACTCTGTATGTAGAGCATTACAAACTGTCAATTTCCTGGTCCTGCCTGTTATGCAAGTAATGTCATACCTCAAAACACGGAACTCCAGACAATCCATTTATATAGCCTTCAATATCAGTATAGGGGGCATTCTCTTATCCACCCTTTGTGACTTGCTATAGTAGTAAGCAAGGGATGGAAGTCTTTGGGATTCACATAGGTTCCTCTAAATTATTTTTCCTTTTTAATAATTTAAAAGCAAAAAACCTATCAGAGGAATTGTCTCCTGCACTTGAGATGCATTGTATGTTTCCTGAAGAAACAGTTACTATCAGACAGTCAAAAATGTGGAAAGAGATTTTAGAATAGACTGTTTCAGTTCTACATGACTATTTTTAAGGGCTTGTATCCCACGTTTGGTGTCCTTTGGAATGGAACACGTTTGATGTCCTTTGTCTTTGGCGAATATTGTCTTTTGACAATAGAACACGTTCGGTGTCCTTTGTCTTTGGCGATGGTAGAACTCGTTTAAACGTCACTTGTGCCTGCATGACAGAGCAAAGGAAATGCTGCCACCTGTGGGTTTTAGAAACCAGCTTGTGACTAAAATCCTTAAGGGGTTTAAATGTGGGCACTGTGTCCTCTCTCTTGACCCCGTTGGCCTTTCTACGACCGTATCTCTTGCTCCTCCCTTCACCTCCAAGCTCCTTGAGCCTATTCCCACTCCTTCGACATCCTCTTCTCAAATGCCGTCCTGAATCTGCTGTCCTCTGGTTCCATCCTCTTCATTTCACCTCTTCTGAGGGTCACCAATTACCGTCTAAGACCTTGCCTGAAGTAGTATTGTAAAGGTGTGATGGTAGCTATGACACTTTCCAGTGCAGACTGCCTGAGGCATACAGTGTCATAGTAGTATGTGTGTGTTAACGTGTGCTAACATCAGAGCTTAAATCCCAGTCTCAGCAAGGCCTTGAAACCTCTTCTCTGTTCACACCATAGTTGGTTACTTCCAAATCTACCTCTCCTGCCGCCTTACATCTTGTCCTGGGTGTTCTGACACCAACTTAAATACCACGTGGCGGAAACTGAATGACATCTTTCTCCTATGCCTGACAACGTCCAGGCTGTTGTAAATCCAGACAACTCTTCATTTACAGTCTCTTTCAATTCAATCTTTTCCTTTCCATCCTGACTGCTAAATCCCTTATCTGAGCTTTGATTATGTCCTGCTTGGACTACTGCAACTTCCTCTTTTCTTGTCTCTGTCTGCTTAAAATGCTGCTACAAAAAATGTGTTTCTCCCATAGCTTTGACTGCGTCATGCCCTTTCTTAAAGATCGCTTTGGGCTTCCCCTCTCCTTCTGAATCGAATGCAGGCTTCTGGTCCTTTCCGCTTCACCCCACACGCATTCTTGCTCCCCTTTCTTCCTCCCACCTTACCCTTCACTTCATGCAAACCTCCCTAACAGATGCATCTGTTTCTTGCCTTGCACTCTCATCTTCCTGATTTCTTCCTTTGTGTCTCTTGTGCCTGCAGTGATCTTCCACATATTGTGTCCTAGTTAACCGCCCTCTCTTCATTCACATCTCTCCTTTTAAAACTAATTTCTTCCATGAAATCTTTCAGTGATAACAGATCAGGGACAGGAATCTGAATGTCAGTATATAACAATTCACGCACAACATGTGGCTTGCATATGTACCTGCAAATGGCCATTTCTTTGCTCCTGTCTTCCCCCCCAAGCTTTTTCAGGGACTGTGTGAGGGTTGATGAGTTAATGGTTGTAAAGTTCTTTGAGAATGTACAACATTATATAAGGGCTACATATTTATTCTTTTATTCGGTGGTTTACTGCTAGTCATGTCAGACAAGGGTACTTCATGAAACCTTTGTGTTTGGCCATAATGATTCTGAACTGATGACTAGACTCTCTACACAGAAAACTCAATTTAATAATAACCTCTGCATAGTGTAGTGGCAGCCGTTTGTGTCTTTGGTCAAACATCTCGAAGTGTGTGCGCGGGAGGGTGGGGCTGTCACTTTACCAAGGGTAATTGGATCCTGGAGGACTTCTCCCTCAACAAAGATTATCCCCTCAATGTTTGGAAGCAAGGTTTTTTATACCTCTTGTTTTAAATTTCCAGTTCCTTCTCTGCCTCCCGGTGCAGCCATCAATTGTCGCCCAAAGGGCAACTTCCATTGGGTAAGATAATTTCTGTCCCATTCTCGGTCAGTGGAGTGATCTGAGTGTGGCAGGAGAGATGGTCGACCCCATTTTATTACAATGTGTCAGTTTAGTAACGTTTGTCCTGTCATTTCTTGTCTCCCTTAACAGTAGCTATTAATGGAAGGACACGGGGTGACCAAAACAGAACACATGGACACCATTGAGGCCCATGCCGTGGCTCAGCAGGTGCAGCAGGTCCATGTTGCCACATACACAGAACACAGCATGTTGAGTGCAGATGAAGATTCACCGTCTTCTCCTGAGGATACCTCCTATGATGACTCTGATATTCTCAACTCTACTGCTGCTGATGAGGTCACTGCCCACCTGGCTGCTGCAGGTAAGCTTACTTGGGCACTTGTGATTATTTGCCTGCTGTCCCAGGCGTTAGTTGCAAATAGCACTTGAGTGCAGTCCTTTAATGTGACTGACGTCTCTTTTCACCAAACCGGGCTGGGTGGTTATTGTGCCAGGTTTAATTACAGGGCCCTGCAATGCCAACGGAATGGGTGTTGCTGTATTGAGTAATGCCATGTTGATATCCGCAGTGTGGTGGAGCTGGGGAAAATATATTTGTCGTTAAAATGCAAGTGCCAGCAGTATCTGATTGCTGCGCAGAAAGGTAAAGAAGAGGCAGAAAATTTCAAAGCGTAACCAGCTTTCATCACCAAATAAAACAGTGCGGCAAAAGAACACTAACCAAAATAACCCAATAAATCCCCCACAACCCAGACTAGGACGGAAACTGGCACATCTTTAGCCTCACCTAAGAAGATGCCACTTATGGGCTTGGGCATATTTTAAGTAGGAAAACATTCCAAAGTCATAGGCCTTTTCCAGTGAAGCTCCTACCTCCTGTCCTTGAAATCATGGATTGGTCCTAACCCTATTGGCCTCAAACATAGGAGCAGATAACCAGTCACAGACTGGCCTAACATCATTTCTGTGCCAAAGTAAACCTTGGTGTGCACGTGCTGAACAAAAGGCAACCTGTGAAGCTGTGGATGTTTACTGAATTGTGTTACAGAGTGGTAGCCGTGTTAGTCTGTATCAGCAAAAAGAACGAGGAGTCCTTGTGGCACCTTAGAGACGAACACATTTATTTGAGCATAAGCTTTCGTGGGCTAAAACCCACTTCATTGGATGCATGCAGTGGAAAATACAGTGGGGAGATTTATATACACAGAGAACATGAAACAATGGGTGTTGCCATACACACTATAACGAGAGTGATCAATTAAGGTGAGCTAATATCAGCAGGAGAAAAAAACCTTTTGTAGTGATAATCAGGATGGCCCATTTTCAACAGTTGACAAGAAGGTGAGAGGTTTCAGAGGAACAGCCGTGTTAGTCTGTATTCGCAAAAAGAAAAGGAGTACTTGTGGCACCTTAGAGACTAACCAATTTATTTGAGCATGAGCTTTCGTGAGCCACAGCTCACTTCATCAGATGTGTCTGATGAAGTGAGCTGTGGCTCACGAAAGCTCATGCTCAAATAAATTGGTTAGTCTCTAAGGTGCCACAAGTACTCCTTTTCTTTTTAAGAAGGTGAGAGTGACAGTAGGGGGGGAAATGAGCATGGGGAAATAATTTTCCACTGCATGCGTCCGATAAATTGGATTTTAGCAGATGGAACTTGCAGCCCAAATGAGATTTGTCTGGTTTGGATTAATAACCAGATTGCTAAAATGCCTCTGAAGCAGAGGGGGTGGAGGGGTTATCATCAGTTGCCTTGTAGGTCTGCCAACGTATCAGGTACAGTTTTGAAAAGGAAGTTAATGCAAAAAAGGAAATAGAAGGGTTGTTGTCTGTGCACCCAATCCCTCCCCCTTTGTCCTGGAGCCACAGAGCACTGGGACTGGCCAGAAAACAAGAATTGCATTTTGCAAAAAAAAAATTTGAGGTTTTGACGTTTGTTTTTGTTCTGTGTTGAAATGAAACGGAGACCTTTCATGAAAAAACAAGAGAGAGAGAGCATGTGATGACCATCTCCAGAATTGCCAATAGCTTGAAGGTCCCTGCTCTGACTGATTTGAACCTGAGAAACCCTCCTGATGAAAATGCCTTCAAAAAATTGGCCACCAGCACCCCCTTTTTCTTAGGAGAAGGCATGAAGAGCAATCAAATGCCTGGATTCTGGTTTCTTCAGGGTCCATCTGTACCTTCTATTCCTTCCTCTCTGGAAGTCGGTATTCTTTGTGTCACACCACCACCCAATTCTGGGATTGCAAACTGAGGCTGCTGACTAAGAGGTGGCTGAAACCAAATTCCTTATTTTTTATTCCCAGATATTCTCCTGACTTCCCTCATTCACAGTTTAGTTCTACTCTCACCTACATCCCAGACCTCACTGCATCCACAGTGATGCCAGTTTTGCACTCCATTTTTTCCTTCTCCAGCTCCTGTCTCCAGGCCTTTTTTGATTCCATTCTTTCCTTAGAGTGTAGGCTCTTTGGGGCAGGGGTTGTCATTTACTATATGTTTGTACAGTGCCAGGTACAATGGAGCTATGACCTGGTTGAGGCCTCTAGGTGATCCTGGAGCACCTACCACTGTGGGGTCCTGGGCCACAAATAAAAAAATAATAGTACAAATACTAAATAATGGCTGGTTTCAGAGTAGCAGCCGTGTTCATCTGTATCCTCAAAAGGAACAGGAGGACTTGTGGCACCTTAGAGACTAACAAATGTATTAGAGCCTAAGCTTTTTGTAGCTCATGAAAGCTTATGCACTAATAAATTTTAGTCTCTAAGGTGCCTCAAGTACTCCTGTTCTTCTTTTTATAAATAATGTCTGTCCAGTGCATGGAGTTACCTCCTAATTCTGGTAAGCAAAGTCACCATTAGATCCCTCCTGACATCTCACTTCTCCTTCAGTGTCCTCAAGCTGTGAGGTCACAGTAACAGTTATTCAAAACCAAACAAATGGAAAAAAAAACCCAAATTCTTCCTTCTCCTGGATTTCTCAATGTCCCATCTTCGGCAGAGCTTTTAATTAAGTGCATGCTATAAAATTCTAGGACTGGCCACCAGAGGGCAGCCTAGCAATAAGAATTGATAGACTCCGAAGACTGCTGTTGAGTTTCTGATCTCCAGCCGTGTCTCTCCGTAGAGATTAAAAGTCATAATGAATTTAGAATAGAATTGGAAGGTCACACAACTTGCTAAAGTTGTCTTTGTCCTTTCTGTTTAACTTTTGCCTTCCCTCACTCACCAGCTTGCCCTAAGACCACACAAGTGATGCCTACCCCTGCTACAGGTTGGTGTTATCAGGTCATGTCATGTGAAATTCAGTGGGCTGGTAATCCAGCCTGCAATGTCATGTGGATCTGTATGTCATCTTACACTTTCCAGTACAAAGCCCATGTATTGCTCTGATTCCACTTGTGGAGGGGCTGGGCTGGATTTTCTTTGTCGTAGTTAATGTGACTACCCAATTAACCAGCAACAGCAGATTACCTCAGGAGTGCTGGTCAGCCCCTCCATAATCTTCCCATTCTTCACAGGCTCGGCAGAGATGCAAAGCAATATCTGAGATTTGAATTTTGTTCTTCCCATTAAATGCACATGGCACTAGTCTGGGGTCACCAATAATATGACGCTTAATATGTCTGTAGCAATTCATGTTCAAAGAGTTATATAAACGTAAGTTAATTGATTTTTGCAACACCCTTGTAAAACCAGTTATGAAGGGTTTCCATTTTGCATATGTGAAAACTGAGGGGCAGAGGTTGTGACTTGTTCAAGAGTCAAATAGCAAGTCATTGATGGAGCCAGAATCAGAGCCCAGGGCTTCCTGACTCTAAGCCCTGTCCTCATTCCTCCAGACTATTAACAAAAATGGAGAAAACTGCCCCTTCCCTGAGTTCAGCGTGCAGAAGGCCCAGCTGCTTGCTGCAGGAAATCTGGTTTTGAAGTTTGCTTTTGAAGGTTTTAATTTTAACTCTGCGTTTTGGTGCTTCCCTGCTGCTCTGCAGATCGCTATTACTGGGGCATTACTGTGGCCTGGCAAGTGGAGGGCCCGGAGCTGGAGAGCATAAAGCAGTGTCCATCCTGCAGTGATGTTGGTGCTGCATCAGAAGATTTTTACTGTTCATAATGCTTTCAACAGTAATGCTTAAAGCAGCTTCAGCAGGGGGTTTATTTTAAAGGGATGTTGCCAAATAGGTTAACAATACCCTTGTGCAGAACGGTGCTAACTGCATCACCCATACAATAATACTTAATCCTGCCATGAGTGCAGGGGACTGGACTAGCTGACCTCTCAAGGTTCCTTCCAGTCCTATGATTCTGTGTCTGTGACTTTTTTTTTCATTTTCATTTTATAATTGCAATAATCTTAGGGCAGGGCATTTCCTGGTGTTAATGGCCACTGCTTGTACGTCAAGCTTTTACCTCCCCTCCCTCAGCGGGTCATTAATCGCTAAGGGATGCTCTGCACCTTGATCATTATAGCTTATGTGAGTCAGCGGGATTTGCATACATTTCAGTACAGTGGAATCTCAGAGTTATGAACACCTGGTAACTCTGAAATGTTTGTAACTCTGAACAAAACGTTATGGTGGTTCTTTCAAATGTTTACAACTGAACATTGACTTAATACAGCTTTGAAACTTTACTATGCAGAAGAAAAATGCTGCTTTTAACCATCTTCATTTAAATGAAACAAGCACAGAAACAGTATCTTTACCTTGTCAAATCTTTTTTTTTAAATTTCCCTTTATTTTTTTAGTAGTTTTTTTAACACAGTACTGTCCTGTATTTGCTTTTTTGGGGGGCGGCGTCTCGCATCTATTCTGCTGCCTAATTGCATACTTCCGGTTCCAAAATAGGTTTGTGGTTGACCAGTCAGTTTATAACTCTGGTGTTTGTAATTCAGAGGTTCTACCATACTTGCAGTAGCCAAACACAGGTGCGTGTGGTGTGACTCCCTTGAGCCAACTCCTCAGTCACAGAGAAATCTAATAACCTGGATTTGAATTGTAGACGTTAAAGATAGGAAATCCCTTTTATCTTGACCAGTTCATTTCTTCCCTAGTCCTGGTGCAGGATTATTCCTGGCTAGAGTATGTTCTCCAGTACTGTGTTTTTTTGTAGGGGTCCTCCTAGGTTTTACTCTGTTTAAATTCTCTCTTTTAAGAGCATAAAAATAACCCTATTGGGTCAGCCCAATTGTCCATCTAGCTTAGTATTCTGACAGTGGCCGGTGTCGGGTGCCCCAGAGGTAATGAACAGAAGAGGCAATCATTGAGTGATCCATCCCCTGTTGTCCTGTCCCAGCTTCTGGCAGTCAGAGACGTAGGGATACCCAAAGCATGGGGTTGCATCCCTGGCTCATCTTGGCTAATAGCCATTGATGGACCTATCCTCCATGAATTTATCCCATTCTTTTTTTAACCCAATTATACTTTTGGCCTTCACAACATCCCCTGGCAATGAGTTCCACAGGTTGGCTGTGCGTTGTTTGAAGAAGTACTTCCTTTTGTTTGTTTTAAACCTGCTGCCTATTAATTTCATTAGATGATCCCTGGTTCTTGTGTTATGTGAAGGGTTAATAACACTTCCCTATTCACTTTCTCCACACCAGTCATGATTTTATAGACTTCTATCCTATCCTCCCTTAGTCATCTCTTTTCTCAGCTGGACAGTTGCTGTCTTTTTAATCTCTCTTTGTATATCTCAGTCATTTTTATTGCCCTTCTCTCTACTTTTTCCAATTCTAATTTATCTTTTGTGAGATGGGGCAACCAGAACTGCACACAGTATTCAAGTTGCGGGCGTACCATGGATTTATTTAGTGACATGATATTTTCTGTCTTTTCTATCCTTTTCCTAATGGTTCCTAACATTCTGTTCGCTTTTTGATTGCCGTTGCACATTGAGCGGATGTTTTCAGAGAACTATCCACAGTGACTCAGATCTCTTTCTTGATTAGTAACAGCTAATTCTCATCATTTTCTGTGTATAGTTGGGATTATGTTTTCCAATGTCATTAGTCAACATTGAATTTTAGCTGCCATTTTGTTGCCCAGTCACCCAGTTGAGTGAGATCCTTTTGTAGCTCTTCGCGATCAGCTTTGGACTTAATTATCTTGAGTTCTTTAGTATTGCCTGCAAACTTTGCCACCTCCCTGTTTAGCCCTTTTTCCAGATCATTTATGAATATGTTGAACAGCACTGGTCCCAGTACAGATACTTGGGGGACCCCGCTATTTACCTCTCTGCATTCTGAAAACTGGCCATTTATCCCTACCCTTCGTTTCCTATTTTGTCATCCATCAGTTTTTTGATCCGTGACAGGGCCTTCGCTCTCATCCCATGACTGCTTACTTTGCTTAAGAGGCTTTTGTGAGGGACCCTGTCAATGGCTTCTGAAAGTCCAAGTACACTATATCCACTGGATCACCATTGTCCACATGTTCGTTGACCCCCTCAGTGAATTCTAATAGATTGGTGAGGCATGGTTTCCCTTTACAAAAGCTATGTTGACTCTTCCCCAACCATATTGTGTTCACAGACGTGTCTGATAATTCTGTTCTTTATTATAGTTTCAACCAATTTGCCTGGTACTGAAGTTAGGCTTACTGGCCTATAATTGCCAGGGTCGTTTCTGGAGCCTTTTAAAAAAATTGACGTTACAGTAGCTGTCCTCAAGTCATCTGGTACAGAGGTTGATTTAAGTCATAGGTTACATACCACAGGTAGTAATTCTGTAGTTTCATATTTAAGTTCCATCAGAACTCTTGGGTGAATATCATCTGGTCCTGGTGACTTATTACCAGGAATCCTAGAAATCCGTTTGCCATCGAATTACGTGGAATTTGCTTTTTTTTTTTACAGAGAATCTTTAGTTTTACATTTTGTGAAAAAATAAGAACATGTATTAACTACATTTTACTGAAAGTTAGGATGACCATGTTTCCCAAAGTGAAAACGGGACACCATGTGGGGCTGGCCTGAGCCATCGAAGCCAACAGCCTGAGCCCCAGCACCTGGCATCACCTCCCCCCATCCCCCTCCCCAACATTCCTCTGAGCCCCCTGTAGGGTGCATGTCCCACTTTCTTTTTGCAAAACTGGGCATTTGTCCCATTTGCAAACAGGACAAAAAGGTTGGGACGTTCAGGACAGGGCTTAAAAAGGGGACTGTCCCAGCCAAAACAGGACGCATGGTCACCCTAGTTCAACTGATACCTATATATAGTGTGGCTAGGGGAACTAAAGTTCAGCATTTCATTTTAATCGCAGGAAAATGTGGATTTTTATTTTTATTGGGGAATTTTGTTTTTGTATCACGGAAAAGTAGGATCCATGCTTATTACTGTGTAATTTATTAATTTGTTCCCAAACCTCCTCTAGGGACATTTCAATCTGGGACAGTTCCTCAGGTTTGTCACCTTAAAAGATTGGCTGAGGTGTGGGAATCTTCCCCATATCCTTTGCAGTGAAGACAGATGCAAAGTATTCATTTAGCTTCTCCACAATGGCCTGGTTTTCTTTGTGTGTTCCTTTAGCACCTTGATTATCCAGTGGCCCCACTGACTGCAGCACTTGGATTATTTTTGTAGTTGGGGGAAGACGACAAACAATCCGAATAGTAATTACATAATTGGGAGGAGAATTCTGTGAAATGAAATATGCAGTGTTCACTGAAGGCCTAACTTTAGGCCTAACAACATGGACAGAGTTTCTTGAAATATCCCTCTGATCCCTGCAGGGAAAGAAGTTTTAGTGTTTTGCAATGAATTCTGGCTACTTTGCTCCAGATGAGGGTAAAAGCCCCATTATTTATTTATTTGTATTACCTGAGCCCTTCAGAACCTGTTCCAGTTGGCATAGTGGTCACTTCTCTATCTTGTACAGTTAATAGATTGTGCGCTGATTCACCATTTGTGGTTTGGTTCCAGGCCCGGTGGGAATGGCAGCAGCTGCCGCCGTGGCAACAGGTAAAAAACGAAAGCGACCTCATGTGTTTGAGTCCAACCCATCCATCCGCAAGAGGCAGCAGACACGTTTGTTACGGTAAGGACCCTCTACTGCAGCTGCCTGTGGCTTCTGCATGCTAACAACCATGTCCATTTCTGTTTGTGCCTTTCCAAAACCCATTTGTTGTTGAGAGATCAGGGACTGGCCACATGTTGCTCAGCTGAGGGCATCTTTGGCAATTTGCATGGAACCTGAGGGCTGCACTTAATTTGCAAAAATGGATCAGATTGCAGCTGTTTTCTGCTTTTAATATGGTAGTGTGACCCACAGAGACTGGAGTCACCATTCTGATAGTATTCACTATTTATTTCTATTCCTGTCTGATCAGAAATTTAGTCCACGTCATCCTAATTACCATCTTGCTTTTTTCCATTTAAATTCTTAACTACTGCTAAAGCCATTATTTTGAGAACCATTGGAGTTGCAATATCCCAGCTCTGGAATGGTATAAACCATTCACCACCATCACGAGGGATGCATCTTTATTCAGTATTTTTATTGTATTGTTGAATGGGGCCTCTTACAAGTCTTCCCAATAGTTCCACAAGATGGAAGTGAGCTAACGCTTGTCCTTGCACTCCCTCTTCTAGCACAGCTGAGGTGGCACATAGCAGAGTGCATCACATATTGGGTATTTTCAATAAAAATGTCCTGGGTGAAACTTCATTATAGGGGCATCAGCTCTTTCTTCCCTTTTCTGCCACAAATGACTTGGGTAGAACACTGGCAAAGCATGTCAGTTCCGTGCATTCTGTCAGTTTGACAATCAGAAGAATTTTTCCATTTTGTCAAAATAGTTAAATAGTCAATGTGTGTCCGCTTAAATCAGTGTGCGAGCCAGATGGGAGCTGGTGCATTCTCTCTGTCACTGGAGCTTCCATATGGCGTCACATGATGACAGCTTTCAGCAGTACATTCACTGTTGAAGGGGGCTCAAAAATGCCCATTTGAATTGATAATCTTAATGTCGCATAAAGTGGCAGCTTACATGGTGAGAACTGCTCTTCCTCCCCTATATCAACTTTCTACGATCCACTCTAGCAAAGTCACTGCCATTTTCTTGTCAATTCTCTCACATCATTTAAATGTTAATACAAGGAAAGAAGTGGTAAGTGTGAGTGTTTCCCCATGGAGGGACCATCCCAAAGGGACTCACTGATATAACAGGTGGCTGAATATACACATTTCCCTTAGCCAGCTGTTGCAATGTCTCTGTTTCTTGCTTACCATGCTTCAGTTATGGTTTTGTGCAGGATTGAAATACCAGTGAATTATTCAGCATTGTTGTGGGTGCTGAACATAAAATAGTTGGTGTGTGTGTGGGATTCTTTATCTGTAAAATATTTCAAAGTGCTCTACCTATACATTCTGTATTGTTAGTCAGTGGGTGACTGTAGCTTGTTCCTCCCTCTTTGTTAACTGATCATCCACAGGCGTCAGAAGATTAATTTCTTCCCAGTGTTGCATGATTGGTCAAGTGCGTCATGGAGGTTTTCTTGACATCCTATAAGGCATCGAGTGTTGGTCATTGCTAGAGACAAGATTCCCAGACATGATGGGCCCAGTGGTTTGATGTGGCATATCCTCTGTGCCCTTAATTTCACTGCTGAGAGATAAATGTTCATTTCTTTCCTCTCTCCGCTTTGCTTTACTTTTCTTTTTCATGAACATGTTCCTTGTGAAAACTAGAAATGCCATAGCTGAGCTGTAGTCTGGCAAAAGGGAGCATAGCAGGCCCGTGGGAGCAAAGGGGTGCTTGTGTGGCCACTGTTACTCACCAGGATTTCCTTTCACACCTGCTTTTGGAATGGGCAGTGTCAAGAGGAGGGATTATAATCTGAAGGACAGTGGCTGCAACGGGCCTTAATTTTATCGTCTCCCCTCCCCTTGTTTTCTTCCCCTGTTTCAGGAAGCTCCGCGCCACACTAGATGAATATACCACCAGAGTGGGGCAGCAGGCCATTGTTCTTTGCATATCCCCCTCCAAACCCAACCCTGTTTTTAAAGTGTTTGGTGCTGCACCATTGGAGAATGTGGTAAGTCTCCCTGGGAAGGGGAAAAGGATCTAAGATGAGTTGTTTGCTTTCTGTGCATGTTTCATCTTGGCTTACAGTTCTTCTAAGAGCCACAGTGGTGTCAGCTTCAGGTTTGAAAAACACATACACCTGGAGCCACAAGATCAAATCCCGGCATAGTGAATAATCTCCCGAATCGGGGCTTTCAGATAAGGTCTTAATACTAATGTCCCACCTGCTCCATTTAAATGCTAAAGGTTCCCTGTCACTTCTCATAAAAGAGGAGTTTAGCTTAGTGTTATAGACCAAAATTTCCCCTTTCTCCATTTCTGTGCTGTGAGCTGATCGTGCATCTGGATGCTGCCTTCACCCTAGAGATGGCTGCATTCAGTGCTATTCTGTCTACCATGTGGAGTACTTTGCCTGGAGAGCTATGGCATGAGATCAGGGCTTAGAGCCTGTATTGCTCGCACTAGTGAGCTTTGGGCTGGGCTGAGGTAAGATAGGAAGGATCTGACAGTACCACCATGGATAGCTGTCTTGAATGGTCAGGTGCGTGGTGGGAGGAGGGAAGGGATTTAGTGGGACTTCTGGGATCAAAGACGTGCGTGTTGTTACATTGCTCTCATTTAGCTATGATTACGGGATGTTACTTACAGATTTATTTCCCAACCACTGGTATATGTAGCAGTTCTGGGACTTTAATCTTTAGCCACTGGTGCTTGGGCTGGCCAGCAACCCCTCAGCCGGTAGTCCCTGCTGCAGTTCCTCTCAACCTTGAAAGATGAGCAGGCAGATCTGCCTCTGTGCTGAGCTACATACATCACCAAATCTCCTGCCCTATTTGCTGTGATGTGCTATATCTTACGATGCAGCTTGGCTGCTCCAGGCCTTACTCTTGTGGGATCTGGGGTTTGAAGCAACCCAGGCTCCACTGTGTCTTAGGTTAGAGGAGTGTATCCAGTTCAGTAGGAGGCAAGCTGTGCTGGTGCACCTGAGGCTGGACATGCAGTTCATGTAGATACCTGCAGTGGGAGGGTGGGGCCTAAGGGAGTCACTGGCTGGTACTGCTGAGGTCTCAATCTGGCAAACCACTAGTTACCTGGAATAGTTGGAGACCACCAATTTCCAGGACAGTCAGGAAGGACTGGACTCTGCTGGTAAGTAGAAAGGGTTTAAAATCATCTCGGCTGTCAGTGATTCCAGCTAGCCTCGAATGAGCTTCCTTGAGCCTTGCAGGAAATGAGGGGATCATCCTGATTGCAACAGCACCATTGCTTCCAAACTTTTATTAAAAGCATTCTCATGCCCCCCCCTTGGTGGTGTTACTTGGAGTTTCATCATTTCTCTTTCATGCAGCCCTGTGGGGCCAGTGGGTATTTTTACCTACCAGCTGTGGCATTGTTTGCTCACTCAGTTCTGCAGTGTCTTGGGGACGGTGAACAGCCCCTCCTCCGGTTACCTAGCACCCTTGCCTCTCTTGTTGCTCTTTGCCTTGTTTACCTGAGCCTAATGATTCCCCACAGGTGCGCAAGTACAAGAGCATGATCCTGGAAGACCTGGAGTCAGCACTAGCGGAGCATGCCCCTGCGCCACAAGAGGTTAACTCCGAGCTGCCACCCCTAACCATCGACGGAATTCCTGTCTCGGTGGACAAGATGACCCAGGTAAGCAGCCAAGGAAGGTGGAAACTTGGAAGAAGAAATGAAGAGGCGTTTTAAAGCCTGTTGATTTTACAGTGGAGTGTATGCCTGCGTCCTAAGGGACACTTAATCCCGTCTCTCTGGTGGGACCATAGCGGGCCAGGTAATAGGTGTGAATCTTTATCACTGGTGCTCCTTTCCATATGAAATTGTACAAATCCTAGTGAGGGCTAGAGCACAGATTGCTGGGACTCCTCCCCCACCTTTCCCCGTGGGGTCATTGTCGTGCTCCATCAGCTATGAATGGAGGAGCTGTCAGTCCTGCACCTGTATCAGGAAGGTGGCTTATTACTTGTCAATAGAGTCCCCTTTTAGTTTCCCCCCTTGACTTAAACTGTGTGCCTTGGTTTTTCTCCTCTCGCTGATGCTGTGGGTGGAAGCAGAAGGAAACCCACTGATAGTTATGTTCCAGGGCAAACCCCACTCTCCCACCTCCAGGGCAGGGGCGAGCTGCTAATACCTGGTGGTTACAGTGAGTCATTTGCAATAGGGGTCGGGGAGACTCCTCGTCCTCTCGTGACCCAGTCCTTGTCTGAGCAGTGTTGCATTGGTGGTCCTATCTCTGGGAGAAAAGGGGAGGGGGCTCTGAAGGAAACTTCCCCTGCATGAGGAAGGATCAGTAGTCTTGTATAAAAAGAAAAGGAGGACTTGTGGCACCTTAGAGACTAACCAATTTATTTGAGCATAAGCTTTCGTGAGCTACAGCTCACTTCATCGTGTAAATCTCCTCTCTCCCTTGGCGGTGGCAGGGACAGGAGAGGAGGGAAGAGTGCGACGAACACTCTGTAAAGGAGCTAAGTAAAAGGCTCTGCATGTGCTCATTTAGGCAGATTGATCTATCAAAACAAATCGCAAATGCCCAGACCCAGCTCTGCACTGGGAGGCAGAAACTCAGAGAGGAACATGAGTGAGTGAGACCTGGGGTGAGGGTGGTCAGCAAGTTAGATATGGGTTTATCGTGTGATATGTCAGCAGAAGGTCAGAGTGCTTCGGGAGAAGAGTTGTTGGCGCAGAGAGTGGTCGGAGCAGTGAAGAGGAAGGTTTTCACCTCAACAGTGGTGACATTGTGAGGAAGAGACAGAGAAGAAATTGGTGCTAGTGGAACAGAGGGAAAGGAGATTAGAGAGAGATGAGGTTGACTAGAGGAAATCCACGATTTCCAGCTATTGCAGTGAGGTAGAAATGTCAAGAAGCTTTCCCTCTTTTTGCTGCAGGATGTAGGCACACATATAAAAATAGTTGCTATTAAAAAGAAAAAATTTTGTCCAGTCAACTCGATGGCCTTTAGTGTTGCATTTCATCATCAGAACAATATAAAAATGTCAACTTTCATTCTAGTAAACCCCCCACATGGATTTTCTGCACGGAAGGTATTTAATTTTTATGCTAGTGTTGGAAATGAGAGCAACACTTCAAATTCAAGAGTTGTTTAAGTTTTACCCTCTAACTCTCCAAACATGGTTAGACAACCTCAGCTCTTTAATCTGTACTTTCTGTTTAAAAAAAACTTCTTGTGTTAAATCTAAAATATAAGCAGTTCTGTTTCCTCTAGGTATGAAGTGGCCTTGGCTGTTAAGAAAATTCTGTGGTTTTGAAACAATTATTCTGTGCACAGATCTGGCCGAGGCAGGTGGGGTGTTGACTGCTCTGTGTTGCCATATGTGAGATGTGACTTTGATTTCAGGTTCTTCGTGCTTTGTCTTCTGGCTCAGAACTTATTCGCTGTTAAGGTGGCACCTTGTGAGTCCTTCTGCAAAAGCTCCTTTGGCTGATCTGTTAGCATGGTTGATGATTTCCTAAATCAGATTGCTAGCTTTTCAGAGGGAGGGGCCTTTCTTACTATGTGTTTGTACAGTACACTGCACAAGGGGGCCCAGATCCTAAACAGGGTTCAGTAGGCACTCACTTCTATCGCAGTATAAATAATGAGGAGTACATGTACAGAGGGGATTGCTGACTGCTCCAATGCACTCTGCTGCTAACCTTCCCTAATCTCTCTGCCCCTCCTCTTTCTATTAGTGGTGGAGCAGTTGTATTCTGGCGTTCTCTATTGGAGCAGCATTCTCTGGCAATAAGTATGCAAACTGTTGATGCAACAGTAAAGTAACTTACAAGGCACCTTATTTTGAGATCTCGTGTACCCATTATGCTTAAGTAACTGCCTAATTCGGAATATCTTTCTTGCTGGAATGATACTTTTTGTATAAACAACTTTATTGCAATGGTGTTGAATTTCTCCCAAGCTGTAGACAGATGTAGCTCTTGCACTTGTACCCTCATCCCCATAGACTGATAGAAGTGTCAGACTGCAGGGGTCCTCGAGAGGTCATCTTGTTCAGGCCCCAGCACTCAAGGCAGGACTAGGTAATAAATACCATTCTCTGTTTGTTGTGGATAGTGCGCAAATCATCTGTCTGCGGACAGGTGGTCACGTTGATGCTCTTGTCTCTGCTTTCCCATCTGTAAAATGGGGGTGACTTCATAAATCAGGAGTGGGCAACTTAAAGGAAGTAGAGAGCCACACGATCCACTGAAACTCTTTGGCAGGCCGAAGGGGTAATGCAGGGGGAGTGTCAGGTCCTGCCTTGGGCCTGTGATACAATGGTGGAGGGGGGTGAGGCCTGGGGGGTGGGGTTGGAGAACAAGCCCACCCTGAAGTCATCCCTCCGCAGCAGCTCCTATCCTGCGGTACTATCCCAACTCCCTGCTCTGGCTCATTGGTTCTTGCAATAGGTGCAAGCTCCCCGCACAACGCCCTACACCCTTCCTGGTGCCTCTGAATCACCTGCCCCGAGCTGGGCTGTGGCAGGCTAAATAAAATGATCTGGTGGGCCGCCAGGTGCTCATCACTGTCCTAAACATTTAAAAAATACTTCGAGAGCCTTGGATGGGAGAGGGCCACACAAGGACAAAGTATTATTAAATATTGCCAGGGCTACAAACTCTCTGTGGGATCTGAAAATCCACCTGTGGTCTTTCTGCCTGTTAAAGTTAACAAAGATGCTACATTTGGATCACAGCTGACCATTTTGTTAATGAGGGAGTCTCCCTAGCTTATAGCTGTACAGCCCCTGCAGGGCTAAGAGAAGTAAACACTTACTTCAGTAAAACCTGAGATAGCACTTGGACACTGCAGGGAGCAGAGATGTTGGCTAAAATGGTGCCACATTTTCAGAGTCACTTTTCTGACCACAATGGCACTTAAGAGTTATAAATAGGTAATTTTAAAGCGCAACAATTCTGCAGTGAGCCCTTTGTTCAGGGCTCTGCATCTCACTTGGGAGAGCGGAAGATACTACTAGCCCTAAATCAGTGCAAAGAATGAAGCATCTTGCCTGGCTAGTGATGCCCTCAAACATTGTAGCAGAAATCTTGATCCCCAGAATGCCCAGCTGAGCAGATATAAAGCTTTTCAGTTCATGGCTGATAATTTTTACAAGGCTCAATATATTCTTTTCATGGTGTTTGCCTTCATCAGCTAACAGGAGAATTTAGCCTTTTTCAATTCTTGTTTGTGACTGGAGATTACAAAGCTTGGAGGAAAGCAGAAAAATTTAAAAATATATATTGGGCATCTCAGTTAAGGAGCACGTCACTACGAATGGAAAAATGAGGCTTTTGCTTTGAACAGCTGCAGGTCTCATTGGACAGGTGTTAGAAGTGTTAGGTTTAGCTCACTGAAGAGGAGATGAAAATAATTCTCCTTTTAATTGCCTTGCTTCTTTGGAGGTCTTGGGGGAGATAAAACCTTCCGCAGGTTGAGTAAAGGTGTTTCCATGGATTTGCAGATGGGGAGCACTGCCCACCTGTGCTGTGTGTGAAAAATGTGTGCAGTGGGGTCTGATTCTGAAGCCCTTACTCAGGGGAATCTCCCATTGTAGTCAATGGGCATTTTGACGAAGGACTTCAGAACAGCCCAGTCAGGAGCTTGATGGCTAGTAGCTTATCCATGTCTTTATCTGAACGCAGTGGGTGAACACTGAGTTGTATTTTGTACTCTGCTCTGCATATATAAATCTCAGGAAGTTGCTGGATGTTGCTTACACTTTCCTGAATGCAAAATTTGTCTCTTAACCTGACCTTCCTTCCTTTGTTTTAACGTCTGCGTATGACTTTGATGCAAAGATGACTCCACTCCACCCCAGTTTCCCCAAAAAAAGAAATTAAAAGGTGTTTGTTTCACTGATGTGGGTCAGCATGTAGGCACCAAACCAGTTTACTGTTAGGCACTGAACAGTTATGTTGGGGAAATTAGTCAGTCAGTTGTGGTGAGTATATGATAGAGAGGGAGGGGGTTTGAAGCATACCTGTAACCGTGCGTACCAGCATTGAGAAAGCATCCTAACATTGGAGGCTCTGGGTTTGTTCTTGTGCCTGGTTTGCAGCATCCTGATGCAATGAAGTTGCTATATGTAGCATTCAGAGGACTTCTCAACCTCGTGTGCTGCTACAGGTGGAATGGGAGGTCGTGAGCGTCAAGGGTCAGTGATACTGTACGCTCTCCTGCCTCGAGGGTGCACCACACTTAGGCTGTGCAGGAGCTCAGCAAACGGGTTAACAATTCGGATTTCTTTATGTTTCTTATTTTTCACCTGACCAAGGTGAGTGAGGGGGAGGGAGACGGCTCATGTAAGAGTAAAATGCAAGATTAAAGAATTTGTGAACAGGTGAGGTCAGTTAATCGAAGGATCTGATTGAGCCTCTTCTGCACTGTGTGTTCTACCATGTTCTGCCTACTCTCCTGTCCCAATCTCTGCTCCTCAGCTCTGACCCATTGTACAATATTGCATGAGTTTCTCTGCTTTGAGCACTCCTAGTGTTCCCACTGTACCTCTGGCTATGGATAGGGACAATATTTTTACGTAGAGACTTGCCTCTGGTGGTGGGGGGTGCTAGCCTGCTGCATTTACCAGGGTTCCATCCTGTCCGGTGCTAGGTACCTTCAGCTCCCATTGAGATCTGTG